AAAAACTATGGCCATTTCTTTTCTTTGGTTAATAGCTCATGGATTTGACTAATTAAATTCTCCAAACATTTAAGACCATTTCATAGTTAATCTTTGAAAATACAGTTATGAATTAATATATCTGAAATTTCTCAAATACTTCAAACAGTTAACAAGGAAGACTTATAAATCTGTCAGCAAACCCATAACAGGATAAACCAAAGAAAGCCCTACCCAGATACATCATAATTAAATTGTTAAAAACAAGGGAAAATATTAAAAGTAGCCACAGAAAAATGACACATTACTTGTAGGGAACAATGATTTGAATGACTGCAGATTTTTCCTCAGAAAGCATGGAGGCTAGAAGACAGTGGTATAACATTTTTAATCATTTTTTTTTTTAAGATTTTATTTATTTATTTGAGAGAGAGAGAATGAGAGACAGAGAGCATGAGAGGGAGGAGGGTCAGAGGGAGTAGCAGACTCCCTGCCGAGCAGGGAACCCGATGCGGGACTCGATCCTGGGACTCCAGGCTCATGACCTGAGCCGAAGGCAGTCGCTTAACCAACTGAGCCACCCAGGCGCCCCGGTATAACATTTTTAAAGTACTGACAGGAAAGACTTGTCAATTTAGAATTCTTTACCTAGTGAAAATATCTATCAGGAAAGAGGTGAAATAAAAATATTCTCAGCTAAGGGGATTTGTTACCAGGAGATCTGCTCCAAAATAATTGTGTCAGGAAGTTCTGTAGACAAAAGGGAAATGATACCAGAAGGAGACTTGGAACATTAGTAATGAAGGAAGAGTAATTGTAAATATCTGGATAAATAGAATAGGCTATTTCCTCTTGAGTTCTTTAAAATAATTTGACAGCAAAAATTATAACATTGTCTGTAATATAAGAGGGGAGAGTAAGGGAACTATATAGTGATAAGTTTTCTACATTCTACCTGAAGAGGTAAAATGTTGAGTCTAAATAGATTTTGAAAAGTTAAATACATAAAATTGTAATACCTAGAGCAACCACTAAAAAACCCTGTGCAACATGGTATAGTAAAAATTACTATAAACAAAATGGAATTTTTAAAAAATGTTCAAACAACTCACAGGAAAACAAGAAAGGGGAAACAGAAGAAGGAAAAACAAAAGGAACAAATGGAAAATGAAAGACCTAATTAAAACACAGCAATAATTATATTAAATGGAAATGATCTGTAAATATCAGTTAAAAGAAATTACTGGAATGGAGAAAAAAATGAACAAACTATATTTTTTCCATAAGAAAATTCAAACTTAACAATATAGGTAGGTAAAAATTAAAAGGATGGAAAAAGAGAGATCATGTAAATTCTAATTAAAAGAAAGTCGGGGTGGCTCTATTAATGTCATAGTATTTTGAGCAAAGAAATAACCAGGGATAAAGAGAGCCATTACGTAATGGTAAAAGGGCCAGTTTGCCAAGAAGACACAGCAGTCTTAAATGTGTATGCACCTTAACAACAGAGCTCCACAATATACAAAACAAAAACTGTCATAACTGAAAGGAGAAATAGAGAAATCCATGATTCTAGTTGGAGACTTCCACTCCTCTTTCAGTGGTAGAAGGAGTTGACAGAAACTCAACAAGGATTTAGAAGAGCTGAGTGGTGTCATCAACCGACACTGTCTAATTGACATTTACAGAATGTTCCACTCAACAGCAGCTGAGGATGCATTCTTTATAAGTGAACATGGAACATTCATTGAGACCATATTCTGGGTCATAAAACACATCTCAACAAATTCAAATTAGAGCAGACTTTTCAGGTTTTCTCTGTTTTACTTTGTTTTCTCACTTTTTAATTGAAGTACAATTTATATAAAGTATACAAATCTCAAATATACAACTTGATGAATTAGTGTATGGGTATACCTGTGTAATCACCTAGATCGAGATATAGAACGTTTTCAACAGTCCAGTAGACTCCGTTGTATTGGCTCCCAATCAGTACTCCTCTCCCAGGTAGCTACTCTTCTGACTTCTAACACTATAGAGTAGTTTTGCTAGCCCCTTAGGGTTTTTTTTTTCCCCCAAGATTTTATTTATTAGAGAGAGAGCACAAGCAGGGGGAGGGGCAGAGGGAGAGGGAGAAGCAGACTCCCCTCTGAGTGTGGAGCCCGACGTGGGGCTTGATCCCAAGACTCCAAATCATGACCTGAGCCGAAGATAGACATTTAACCAACGGAGCCACCCAGACACCCCAGCCCCTTAGGTTTTAATTCACTATTAGGTAATCTTTGGCATTAAGGTTTAGTGTTGGGGTGCTTGTGTGTGTGTGTGTTCCAGAAAGTATATTTGGATGGAACTGGAATATAGAGCAGGACATGGAGCAGTGTGACTTAAGGCCAGAAAGGCGGACAGGGTCTCCCACATGATGCTGTAGGCTGGAACCTGCTCCTGGGCAGGGTCAGCTCTGGGACCCTCGTGGGCTATGTGGGGAAGGTGCTAGGTTGCATTACAACCCAGTTCTCTTTTATAAAATACATGTGTCTCATTAATTACCAGTTTATTGTCCTTTTTTTTAAATATAACTTTTTTTTAATTTCAGCCTCCACACTCAAAAAAACTTAAGGAAACAAGAGTTTAGTGTTCCCCAGAATGAAACTACAATTATACCTAATTGCCTATTTTATAGTTTTACCTGGAATTAGCTTTCTCTTTATCATATGACGAGCCCTGTGAGCTTTGAAGGAAAGTGATATGCTAGGACAACCTTTACAGGGATGACCAGAATTTGAGATAATCTAGTACAAATTCTCGGAACCAGCACACGAAGAGGGGACTCCAGGAAAAATCCCATATATATATTTTAGCTGGTTTTCTCTTACTGAGGGATCAGAAAAAAATGTACTTTACTGGGACCAAAATCCATATTTGAGCAGCCCTGAGTATCAAAAGTGTTTTTCAAGCATCCATTTGGTATAGAATACAAACCTATAATTGTGGAAAATCACAAAGGAAGTACAAAATAAAAATTCTGTTTTGGAAAGAACACAGAATTTGGAGTTAGATTATTAGGGTATGAAAAGAAAGCTAAATATCTGTATATAAAACATACAGGGAAAGATCTGGAGGAGTACCCCTGACTATCCATTGATGTGGTACTCTCACTC